GTATATCTCATTTTATCCTCAACGGGTGCTTCTCCCTCGCGTCGCGGCGACTGCAATTGATGAGCGCTACAACTTCAATTAACGCCTGGTCACCACGACACTGCTCCAACATGATCACTTCTCATCAATCCCTCGATCAAACATGAGACATCTCCAACTGCAACCACCTTCAAAACAGTCCAAGTGGACATCCAAGTGGACATCCAAGTTGGCATTGGTCATGTATTTTCCCAAAAGGGGGGTTCTTTGCGCTGGCGACTGGGTTTAGGCTACCTACATAACGCGCCCACGGTTCGTCAGAGGAACCTGGGGCCCCGCGTAAAAATTCTAGCAGTCGCGTGTCCCCCATTCCAGTGGGTCACGAAAGCTTGGAGGAGCAAGTATGGGTACTTCAATAGCGCCTTGATCTAGTGCGCGCTTGGGGTATTGGTACGTACGCTATCAGGTTCTAGATTTCTCCAATTCTGGCGGAGGGAGTTTGATTACCCTGCACCGTTTAATTTGTGTACAATTTATATTGCATAACGAGGGTATCTAGAGATTGCTTGGAGCCTGCTATTGGAGTATTAGTATGGCTAATACTCTCTTGCCAAGTTGATAGACAATTTGCTCAAAAATACGCGGGAATGATAGGAAGATTTGATGCAGAGCAAGGCATGAAAACATAAATCAGATTTTCCAACGATCACAAAAGTTTGAGATTCAGATGCATATAGTCTATTGCCCCAACAAAAGGTCATAGCCGCATACGTATCTAGATAAAGCGAATATCAAGTCTAGTCACGCGTAAAAGTGCATCATAATTATTTTATTGTAAACAGGAAGTGTTGGGTGGATTGCCGAGTCGTGCGAATTCTATCCTGCTTATCAACGCGACGCGATGAGTTGTCAGCATACACAAAAAAGCAATGAATCTACGCTAAGCTGTCTGTCGATCTGGCAAAATAACAGATTTATAGAACGTAAATGTGTGTGAAGAGTGACTCGAATGATTTGCACTTGGAAGCCGCCACAACAAAATTAGTTCAAACGCGTGGCAGACGCAGTTTGACTGATCTGCAACATCAAGATTATGATCGCGTTATAATAGAAGCCCACGGATTTGAACTTGGAGGATGGGAGACTGGACCACAAACCCTTGTATTCAGCACTGAGAGCGCTCTATGGCCTACCTTATAACGTGCCCAGACATGGTGATGCACAAGGCAAACTGACGCGTCTCATCATGTGGAGCGACGGAACACGTCAGAAAATACATTGACCGATGATAACTCATTGGCACAATTGATGATTACTATCCATACTTTATCGCTTAAAGTATTTGATATGCTGAGTTATGACAGGCTCGATCATATTTAATGTCTCCATGGTTCTCGGAACCCAGTGTCTTATCTCTGGAAGCTTGGAGAGCCTTGACTCTGGGTGCCGAGCAGACATGACCGCGGTATTATCATACAATCTTCGTATATCGAGGTGGTATAAAAAGTGTGAGGGATTGATCAGATAAAAAAACGACGAACCACGGGCTATCTGAGCGACAAGGTCAATCACCGGATATACCCCCTCGAATGCAACGACGGTGATGATCCCATAGCCGCCAGCGGGTCTCCCCCACAATCTGATTCCCCAGATTCTACCCCCATCATTAAGCTTATCTTTTACCACCCATGCCATATAGAACTATTCCTACTGGCCAATTCCCTCCTTGGATTGTCACTAATTACTCCTTTCGTCCAGAATGATAGCTCGACCCGGTATCCGACACTGTTGGGCCCGTCATCCGATGCACTATCGACTCCCCCTCACTCTTGGCATTCTCGGCAAGCTCGAGATCGGACATGGCGCTTACCAGGGCCAGTATTAAACGGCTCTCTTCTCCCTGATCGACAGCTGTTCTTTCTGCCGCAGCCATTTTTAGGACATTTGTGAATCTGTACATCATGACTGCAAGAGATTCTGACGCAGAGAGGGGCAATGGAAAGGAGCCTTGGAGCAAAGAATTTGAGCATGCTGATACTCATGATGCTGCTGCTAGAGGACATCTTGCCACTGATGAGTAAGTTGACTGCCCCTTTGTTTGAGCTCTGTTGACGTTGCTAGGCATGGCAACCCCATTGCGACTTTCGACGCAGAGGCTGAGAAGAAGCTCCGTCGTAAGCTAGACTGGTATATTCTGCCATCAGTCACTATCTTGTACTTGATGTGCTTTGTCGATCGTGCCAATATCGGTAATGCTAGATTGGCCGGTCTGGAGGAAGACCTTGGTCTTACTGGCTATGACTACAACTTGTTGCTCACAGTTTTCTACATCGTACGTACTGCCCCCTTATCTGTAGTATCTCACCCTAACACAAATCTGTTTGGTAGTCTTACATCGTCTTCGAACTTCCCCTCAACATGGTGTGCAAGTGGATCGGACCCGGCTGGTTCATCCCCGCTACCTCTGTAGCATTCGGCGTCGCCTCTCTCGGGACCGCTTTCGTTCATACAATGGGCCAAGCTTGTGCCGTGCGCTTCATCCTCGGCATCTTCGAAGCAGGCATGTTGCCCGGTATCGCGTACTACCTCAGCCGCTGGTACAGACGTAGCGAACTTGCCTTCCGCCTAGCTATATATGTCGCCATGGGTTCCTTCGGCGGAGCTTTTGGTGGTCTTTTGGCCTCTGGTATTCTGAAGTTAGATCATTTTGGTTCATTGACAAGATGGCGAATGATCTTTGCTATTGAGGGTATCTGTACGATTGGCCTGGCGCTCATTGCGTTCTTTACTATGACAGATCGACCTAGCACTGCGCGATGGTTGTCAGAAGAGGAGAAGGACCTGGCCATTGCGCGTATCAAGTCTGAGCGTGTTGGTGCTACCGAAGTCCTCGAGAAGTTCTCCTGGAAACTGGCCCGTCGTGGTATCAGCTCGCCTGTTACCATCGGAACGTCCACCATCTTCCTGTTCACCAACATCACCGTACAGGGCCTTGCTTTCTTCGCACCTACGATTGTGAGGACCATCTACCCCAACCACTCAGTCGTTCAACAGCAATTGCGTACTGTGCCGCCTTACATCGTCGGTACCTTCTGTACTGTCACCATCAGCTTCCTGTCGACTCGTATTGATAAGCGAAACATCTTTATCAACTTGTCACAGCTGCCAGTCATCGCGGGATACATCATGTTCCTCAGCACCACCAACCGTAAGTTCAAACATCGCTCTATCCTGGGAACCTAACTAACTCACTCACCTCAGCTTATGTCCGCTACGCTGGCACGTTCCTCATCTGCGCAGGCACCTTCGCAAACGGCGCTCTATCCAATGCTCAAGTGTCAGCCAACTTGGTCAGCGACACAGCGCGTGCTTCAGGAATTGGCTTGAACGTCATGCTTGGTAACATTGGAGGATTGATCTCGACGTGGTGCTTTTTGCCGTTCGATGGACCAAACTATCCAATCGGCAATGGACTCAACCTCGGCGCGTGCTCATCGATCTTCCTTCTTACCATCGTACTACAAGTTTACATGACTTGGGATAACAGAAGGAGAGCTGCAATTGAGGTCGGTCAGGCTCTGGCCGGGAAGACTGATGCTGAGATTCGTGTTATGGATTGGAAGCATCCTGGATTTATGTGGAGGCCTTAGAATAGTTGTGTGGCCACCATAGATTCTCACCTGGTAGACATGAATCGTTTCCGCTCTTACCTACGAGAAACGGACATTTTCTTCATTCATCAAGAAATGAGTCACTTGCTTTCTTCCACTGTGCTACCGTTGGTGATATAGACTTTGCACTGTTTCGCTCCACAACCGACCTCTCGGGAGATTCCGAGCCTAGGCGACATGGCCTTTTCTGAAGTTCTGCATGCCAAGTTATGAGAATGACCGTTATGGCAATGGCCCCGAATCTTCACACATATAATCAGCATAACGTGCAAGGGGAATGCCTTTGTAATGCGAGCTTCAATCTCTAGCAGCAACCAGTTCCGAAGGGCCTTCGTTCAGGACAAGGTACAGTAAGACGATACCTTGCCCAGTTGCATGCCGAAGTTGAACTGTGTTTCAAGGTTCCCCGATCGTGTTTTCAGCTCGGCACTGAAGGTCCTGATAACCTTTGCCTAATTGTTTTAGGTGTCCACGGCACAAAGCTTGCCACCTGTGAGCCCGGACTACAATGCTTACGGTCTGTCTAGATTACGAACGATGAGCATTGTTCGCTGCTGTCCAAGGCCGGAAACTCAATCGCTACCGGACCTTAACCCAGTGTAACGGATTACCCCACCACCCGAAGCCAGCCCTTTTGAGACCAAAAGGCTGACACATGTTCCAATCGCTCATTGAGCCCTATGGGATTTCTGATGCATTGAGCTCAACATGTTGGACATAGATAGCGACCTTCAATGCTTAGCTATTCTCGATATTAACTACCGTCCGATTGTCCTTCGCTCCCGCGCGTTGCATGAAAGGAGCGCAAGCCTGTGAGTGACTCGATCGCTTAGACTGCCTGGAGCTATAGGAGACTCAAACAAATAAAGCCCGTGTCTCACCAGTATTTTTGTTGCAACATGTCACTGAAGTGCCATGACGGGAGATCTCAAAGCAATGCGGCTGGCGCACAGACACCAGCTGATGCTCGTTCTCAGCCGTTCCAACGGATGCTGACATTGCCCTGCATCAAGGTTCGGCATCTTACCCGGCCGGCGGCATTCATCCAGTTGAGTAAGCCCTACCGAGATCTAGGGAGCCCAATTGTGCTCTTGATTGGAAGAGCACAGGAGCTTGGGCTGAACCTATTTTTGTAGTACCTTAGCTGTCGGGGAAGATTACGCTCACTGGGCTGAGTGGCTTGGAAGCTTCCGGTTCATCATGTGCTTGGGCGGAAGCTGGCTGGAGCGACGACCTTGCATAAGAAGCCGCTCGATCCAGGAAATGAGCTACAGAGCCGATTCATTGCCCTCTCTGCCATTCTTTGCGCACAAGTACGTACAATAATATTGGTGACCTATTATCGGCGACATGAAGTCTCTTACAAGTATCGCAGCGGCCTTAGCAATTTGTAAGTAAAAGGCAGCCTGTAGATGAGAACAATAGCTTAACAATCGCTACCTAGTCGCCGGCAGTTCCTCAGCATCCCCCACCTCGTACTGCAACGGCAAATCCAACAAGATATGCTACACCTGGGCCGTCCCATCCTCAACAGCCTCGTCTAGTTCTGGCAAATTGTTCATCCGTATCCAAGCTCCCGTGGAATACCAATGGGTCGGCCTCGGCACCGGCGATAAGATGAGCGGCTCCACCATGTTCGTCATCTACCAAGACGGTACTGGTAAAGTTACCTTAAGCACGAGGATGGGCCATGGCCATGAGATGCCGGAGCATAGCCGCATGCGCTCTGTGAGGCTCATCGAGGGCAGTGGTGTCGTGAATAAGACGATGGTAGCCAATATCCATTGTGGCAATCTCGGAAATATGCACTTTGAAAGGTCGAATCACTGGATCAGTGCTTGGAAGACTGGAAGTTCTTTGCACACGACTGACATTGATGCTGACATAGAAGAACATGATGGACACAACAGCCTCTCAGTTGACTTCTCCGAAGCTGTTATAAGTTCTAACAGCAACCCTTTCCTTCACATGACAACTGCTACACCGAATGGTGCAGCGTCTGGCAGCGGGGGAGACGGCAATACCAGCACCATTCACGGTATCATCATGTCGGTGGTCTTCCTGTTGGGCTACCCGCTGGGATCGCTGTTGATGCCTATAATCGGAAAGTGGTTCATCCACGCTACGTGGCAGATGGTCGTCTTTGTCGGCATGTGGGCTGGGTTTGTTACCGGCAAGTTGGCTGCTGACCGTACCGGTGTTGTAAGTAGCCAAGCCTGTCACCTTGAAGCATTCACTAACTTTCGATCAGTGGTTCAACGCCCCGCATGTAATCATCGGCACAGTAGTCTGCGGTTTGATGGTTATCCAGCCAATCTTGGGAGGGCTACATCACAGGAACTTCGTCAAACATCAGCGTCGGACAGGCATCAGCCACGCTCATATCTGGTACGGCAGAGCTCTAATGATCCTTAGAATTGTCAACGGCGGGCTCGGTCTGCAGCTTGCTGGTGCATGTATGAAGCTTATTATTGGCTATGGCGTGGTTGGTCTCGTAACATTCTTGATGTACACCGCTGGGGCTGTTCGCAAGATGCTGAGAGGAGCGAAGAAGCATCAGCATGAGCCTCTAAAGTACAATGGCTCTTATAGTGCGGTGGCCTTGATTTGAATGGCAGTTTTGGATTCTATTCTCGTGCGTCATTCTTGATAGCATGTAAACTCCTTAGTAAGGGTACAAGAATGCCGAGACTTGCTTTTTTTTTTCATCTAGCAATTGAGGCTTTCCGTCACATTAAGTAGTCTCTATCCTATAGATGTTTCGTACTGCTTGAGCCTGTTTCGAGTCTGTATGGATATTCGAACCTGAATGACCAACACTCACCAATGTTTGTCCCACTATGATTACATCGGACATCCCTTGGCGGGGCACATCATGAAGCCCTTATCAGATAAGTCAATCTTGGGAATGCCCCGTGTCTAATTGGTTCAGTGAGTGTCTTCTCCAATTTTACATGACCTGCATCAAGCCTAGTCCCCCGAACACACACGGCGTCAATTGCCGAGCCCCGTCGGTCCAAGGCCTCCGCGCACCGGAAATCATGACCTTTCTCCGCCCCGATAAACACTGAGTCCTGTGCCAAGCTGTGTATCAGATCCACTGCGGTCTTTATCTGCCGGCCGCTCAGATGATCCGTTTGTAGGTAGAAAAAGGCGCGCCCTTGCTCTTAAGCCTACGCCCTGGCGCAACAAGTTGTATCGTGTGCGGGGGAACTACCGATTTGACGGTCCGACAAGAGTTTGATTGACCAGTTGCGTGATGCTTAAAGAACCTTGATATCTAACGTGTATCATTTGCTTGGCTTGACAACGACTTCATTTATTTCTACAGCTGAATTGGTTCTCGAGATGGCCATCCTCCCAATTGCCGCAGCTGTATTCGCTGTCGTGCTCTTCGTCAAGCACATCTTTCTCGATCCCTTCATCCTCAGCCCTCTTCGCCACGTCCCAGGCCCCAAATCATTCGCCGCGACAAAATGGCGGCTCGCCTACGAAGACTGGAAGGGAACGCGGACTCGCACCATTTTTAGACTGCACCAACAATACGGACCAGTTGTGCGCATCGGTCCTCACGAGGTCTCTTTCAACAGCCTCTCAGCACTGCGAACGATCTACGGACCCGGAAGTCGATATGGCCGAACCACTTTCTATCGCATGTTTGATGTCTATGGCGAGCAGAATCTATTCACATTCCACTCACCCAAGGAACATGGTGATAGAAAGAAGCTTTTGTCGCATGCCTATTCCAAATCCGTTGTTCTCAAGCCGCCGACTGCGAAGATGGTTGAGAGGAGAGTTCGTCAATATCTGGATCTGATTGAAGCCGAGCCTGAGAACGTCAGTGAGATTTTCAGCACTCTGCATTATTACTCGCTGGATAACATCACCGCCTTTGTTTATGGGAAGTATGGCCAGACTGCAGCGATTCGCGGCTCAAAGATTCATCGGGAACTCATCGCGGATATTCTGCATCCCTCTCGTCGAAAGCTCTCTTGGTCTATCGTGCATCTGAAGACTCTGACTCAATGGCTGTATCGCCAATCAGGATTGATGGGACAACTCGTCAAGCCGGTTCTTCCGATGCAGCAGCCTACTACGTACACCGGTATTCGAGGATACGCTCTGCGGGCTTTTGAGGCTTTTCGAGCTGATGTGGAGAAGATCACTCACTCGGAGGGTAAGTGGTATTTGTGACTTCTGTATGCAGACAACTGACAAATATGGCAGATGAGCATGTTTCGATTGTGGAAAATCTCTGGCAACATCATGAATCTCAGAAACCAGGTGGACTCCGTGATTTGCAGATGGCATCCGAATGCGCTGACCATTTCCTTGCTGGCATCGACACCACTAGCGACACGCTCATGTTCCTTGTTTGGGCGCTATCACTTCCAGGCAACGAGAAATATCAGGAAAAGCTGCGAGAAGAAGTCATGGCCATCTCAGGTGACGGATTGAACCAATGGGGTAATCCAAGAGCGGAAGCAAGTGATCGATGCACATACATCAATGCCGTCATTAAAGAGACTCTACGACTCTATGCTCCTTTGCCAAGCACTGAACCTCGTTCGATCGATATTGATTCGGTTATTGATGGATATACCATTCCTGGCAACACTGTTGTCGGCATGTCGCCCTGGATCATGCATCGCAACGAGTTGGTGTTCAAGGATCCCTTGGTCTTCAATCCTGATCGATGGCTTGGATCTGATGCAGCGGAGCTAAACCGATGGTTCTGGGGATTCTCAAGTGGAGGGCGAATGTGCGTTGGCATGCAGTAAGTTGCTTCTCTCCATTCAGGTTCGGTCAATCTCAATTACTAACACGAAATAGTCTTGCTATGGCTGAGATGACAACACTCACAGCTACCATGTACCGACAATTCAGAACGACGATTGCTCCAGGGTTCGAGGATACTACACCTGCTATTACAGCTCGCGTGGAGACTTTCTATGATGATCGATTTCCTAAGGTTCAGGTTAGTTTTCTTCTGATTCTTATTGATACGACGTGTGACTGACCAGCAACAGGAATCTAAATGTCTGATCAAGTTTACGAAATTAAAGGATTGAGCAGTGGTGATTCTTTCATGGGAGAGCTTTATCTATGTTGGTTTGATGTCCATTTCTATTTGCTATAGCTGCAGACGGTCCAAGTTCAATTCACCGAATAAAAGATACCAGTGAAATATGATAATGCCGAGTTTTTGAATGTCGTATACAACGGTTTATAATTGAGAATCTAATAATGGACATCTGTATGTAAAACATAAGGCAAACCACAAATACTAGTCGATAAAATTATGTACAGGCAGCTTGATTTACAGCCCTGTATCTCATTTCCACAACCCCACTAGTCTCGAGAATACAGGGGAGATTGTTGGTCACAGCGACGCCACATTCAATAGTTTGGCAGAACCAAGACCGACCTACACTGTTTTCACGACCAAGAAAAGGAGGGATTCTGTGCAGGCTAGGCAGGGCATGAATCGAAGCTGTCAGAAAGAAACGGCGCATTGTTAGATCCATTTTGAGTTTCAGGCAATTGGCTTAATTGCCATGTTTCCCCATTACGAAGAGGATCTCGACGCCCGGTTTTCTCTTTTCGCAACATCCATACTCCGTACTGTCATTACCGTTATCATGCAATTTACATCTTCAGTTCTTCAGCTTTTGGCGCTTTGCCACATGACGTTAGCATCGCCATGTAAGCTTTCTTCTTCAACTGTCCTCTCGGTGTCGTCAGCAAGCACCACTGAGACTAGTGAGACAGAGTCATCGACGGCCTTTACGTATGAAACTACAGCCACGACCGAGTATGAGACATTGTCCGGCTCATCTACCATCGCCACTTCGGTCGCGACCTCAAGCGCTGAGGTTGAGCCAACGACAACCACCACTGCCGCATCGGGACCTACGAATCTGATCAGCAACCCCGGCTTTGAAGACTCAACCGTCGCGCCTTGGACCGTATACAACAACATCGGAACCCTGATTATAGACAGCGATTCAGGCATTCCCCCATCAACCCAAGCAGGACAATTCAGCGCCTCTGGAGAAAACCTCAGCAACATGGGCGTCAGACAAGAACTTGGCCCATCTTTGATCGTGGTTGATAAAGAGTATCGCTTTTCTGTATACACCAAAGTCACAGCCTCCAACTTTTGCATCTCGCAAACAATTGCCTGTGGCGCAGGAACAGGTTGGGTAAACTCGGCGAATTGGGGTGCAATGCAGGCGAATGGTTGGATACTGACAACGGTTACTTGCTCGTGGAGTCAGGCTCAGCTTGATGCTGGTCCGAGTGTTCAGGTCGCGGGAGTGTGCAATGCTCTGACTTTCCTGGCTGATGATGCTTCTTTGGTCGCGACTGAAGCATCGGATTAGCTTGAACTGTTGCTTGGGGTAATATATCGTTTTGGGTTGTATATCCACGAAACCTACCAACTTGTCAATACTAAATGGGCAACTGCAGACCGCTGAGCAATTATCTTTTGTATCTGCTCATCACGGTGGAGACGCATCAATATTAGCTCTTCGCTTGCATAAAGCAGGGGTGCATGTTGGACCGAGGTTCCAGTCAGCAACGCCACATTCAATAGTTTTACAATAGACGATGAGCAGCTACCAACAGCCAAGAAAAGAAAATTTGGCCCGCGGACTTGATCTGTGAGAATGAACTGATGGGTTGTTCGAGCTAATTTAGCGTGAGCTCTTATGCTTAATCGTGCCTGGTTCCCGTTGTTTCTTCCCTGGCTACCTTGTGTTCTGTTTTTTTTTCTCTGGTATCATCACAGTCTTGCAAGGACGTCGAAATCGTGGTTATGAGACTCACGTACCCATTCGTTCAGCTTCTGGCGCTGTACAAGTTGACTTTAGCCTCACCATGCAAGCCTTCTTCTCATACCTCCCATTCAATTACATCTCTCAGTACCTCCGTCACTAGCGAGGCTGGGACGACCAGTATAGACATATTGCCGACAACCTCAATAACAACGGATTCTGCCATATTTACGACCTCTTCTTCTAGTGTCCTTTCCTTGGACACCGAGTCTGTCACATCGACAGCCGCCCTTTCATCATCTGTGGATGGAGAGACAGAATCATCGACCGTAGCCTCTTCTGAAACAACAATTATTGCCCAAAGCACTACGATAACTGAACCTTTGGTCTCTACAAGCTCAGCTGTAATTTCGGCTGAGACATCGACTGACGAACTATCTACCACTACAACATCTGTTGAGCGACAACCCACCAACTTAATTCGCAACCCCGGCTTTGAAGACCTTACCTTCGCTCCCTGGGAGACAAAGAAAATAGGAGAACGAGGGTGGCTATCCGTCCGCAGCGACACATCTCGCCCAGGATCACTACAGTGCGGCGTTTTCGATTCTTCAATTTCGCCTTCAGGAGGACTCAGGCGCAGACTTATCCAACCGTATAGCTGGTATGTCAAGCAAGATATTGACCCTTCCAAAATTATCGCCGGAAAAGAGTATCGCTTTTCAATTTTTCTAAAGACCACAGCGTCTAGTAGTTGTGGTGTCCCGCGCCTAGGATGCAGTGCCGGATCAACCCCAGCTGGATCGGCGGAGTTCGGGGGGGCTTTGAGTACATGGGCTTTGGGAGTAACTAGCTGCACTTGGAATGAAGCTCAGCTCGATGCTGGAGCCTCCGTTTCTGTGACGATTGTCTGCGCCTCTGTCACTTTCTATCTTGATGATGCTGTTTTGATAGAAAGAGAGGCATCGCAGTATTGATTTGACAAATGGAACTCTTATAGTTATTAATTGCTACCATATCAATGTAGCAGGTATGAGAATCACTTGCAATTTGACTTCAAGTAGTACTCCTGGGACTCTAACAATAACTCACCTCCATGACAACTTGTACTAACTGGCAAATCGCATACTCAGAGGCATGTACCATACATAAACGACGGCCCAACCAAATGAGTTAAGATACCGAACCAACACTTGCCACGGAACAAAGATGTAAGCAGAACAACATCTAGCTAGTTGACGACGCCCCGGATGAATTCGGCCCCTCTCTAGAGGCAACAAGCCCAGGAGATCAAAACATTACAGTGCAGGGGCATCGAGAGCCAGAAGTGGCCACGGTAGTAGTAATGGCGGCGAATAGCTCCTGATTGGTGGTCGTGAAGAGTGGCTGCTGAAGTCTTGGGCAAAGGTGGACACATAAAACTCAACGGATGTCGCGGCAGTAGTCTCGGTCGTGTCTTGAATAGAAGTAGTGGCCGCCTTCACTGATTCAGCGTTACTTATTATGGTAGTGGTGTTCTGGCTCGAAGTAGCCGATGATGAAGGACGGTATCGCGAATGCAACGATTGTGACCGCCAAAGGGTTCGGGAGAATCATGGTAATAAAAGACTAAGGTGAGTTTACCAAGAAAAGAACGTGTGTATATCGGCGGAGTCTACTAAAGGCACTTACTTATCCGCTCAGGTATTACCAATAGAAATTGTTCTTCTCTTTTCTTGTTATTGCCTGAATTATTATTCCGCTATTTGGGCATTTTGTCATTTGTTAAAGCTTAAAATAAAAGCTCAACTGAAGCGCTGGCGCCCAGGGCCCCAACTAAGTGGATGTTTTGCGGCTGGGGCCCTGAAACCCACTGAACTGTTGAGGGCTGATGCACCCTAAGGAAATTTGTCTTTTTAAGCCTTTGCTACAAAACGCCGACAGTATAATTGCCAATGCAGGCGCAGATGTTACCATCAGTGTGCGGCGTCCTGAAGAAGCAAGAGCTGCACTGGGATCAAAAGTGAAGCGCTAGGCCTTGAATCAATCCTGTGTGGCTTGATGGTAAGAGACCGTCATCCCCGTCACACTGCACAGCGTATCGCCAGGACGCTAGCTGATCATGTTTGACACCCATCAAAAGATACAAAGGTAACGCCCATCAACGCTTTCATTGCTCACAAGCAAGGCACTAATCCAGATGAGTGGGATAACGCCGCGCGGAGCCGAATAGATTCTTTTACGGATAAGGCTCATGATTATGGTATTAAACTTCTCATCTCTATTCACACTCACAAATGCTCTTGAGAACAAAAGTGATTTCTACTGAGGATAGTAGGATACTGGCGAATTTTATATAAACAGTAAAGCTATAAGCCAATTCAAAGACCGCATCGGCCACGATCTCCCGCATAAATATCTCAAGATAGGCAAGACGTTGACCCGGAGCCCTGACTACACCTTCGACTTTTAGAACCAGAACGGAGTTATGCATCCGCAGATACGCAGATTTTTATTCCCCAGGCAGCGCCATACACTTAAATCATCCTCTTACAGTATAGGGGATCCCACAAACCTTAACTTTCTGGTAGTGCACAATCGCCAAAAGCACCAATAACAACCTCAAGGTTAAAGATCCTTATCACGACCGACGGCATCGCCTACCTAGACAACCCTTCCATTAATGCCTATTTAACTTGCGGTAAGTTCGAAATACTCGCTATCATCAATTCGAACTGGAATATTTTAAAGGCTGTTATACTTTCTGCAGGAAAGGATAGGTCTGCTTTTTAACTTCAGCACTTTTTAGTTGTAAAGAATTGGTGCTTAAGGCTTCACAAATACGTATGTTTATTCTTCTCAAGAGATTTCATGTTATTTAAAGTACTATAAGACGAACTGAGATAAACATTCATCACTTTGACATTCTACAGCTAATCAGATAATTTCTTCTTATAAGTTAAGCTGTACAGTGATATCATAGGTGATGAGGACATGATAGCGATTCTACAGTGTAAACATGGGAGATTTGAAACATGTAACAGCTGTAAAGACCTTATGGCTTACGAGGGGACGTGACGAAGAGCCAACATATATGCAAAAACTACTAGGCCGACTTGGACTTTCAACAAACTGATACGAGACTACTACTTGGTTCCCTCCACGAGCTCGTCGGATCGACCATTGGGGCAAACAGCTAGGTTGAGGTAATGTTCCATATCCCTGAAATTCTGGGAAACTAAATTAACACCCTTATACTATGGATGAGTGATTCCAAATGGCATGCCTTTCTAAACAATGCTTCCAAAGGCCAAAGTCTTTGGGCTATTCCTCGACTCTTCCACCATGTGTCAACCCAATGCCAACGGGAGAGTAACACGGCTTCATGAGCTCACTGCATCTCTGAAGAGCCAATTTAATTACTTGCTGTCCATCGCTGTGTTCAGGGAACGTGTTTTACCGTCTCAACTTTACCGGTACCTGCGGACCAGTAATATACTGTCGCACTCACGACGCAGAGATTCTCGAAACGATTTGTTCAAATCATGACTCATCTTAAAGTAATATCTTAAGAAAAACTTTTCGGTTAACATATTTCGGTGCTCGCGAGGCGCTGACAGGGCGACACTCAAGCCGATTCGCTACAGCTGATATGTACCTCCTGGAGGCCCAGCGAACATTGAGTCTTTCGGCTGAAAGGAAAGAGTATTATACTCAGGTTTGATCTTTGGTCTCCTCTGTACTTCAATTCAGATGGGGATAGATACTTGAGTTATAGTTCTTCGTGATTAGAATAATTGGTGATCTTGTATCGCCTGTTGTCAGCCCTGGCCCTACCATGGGTGCCCGATGTGCGGGGAAGCGTCACATTACGTTTCGCAGGGCCATGTCAAAGAAGAAGAGTCTATCTAGAGTATGAACCGAATTCCCTAGAATTTGCGTCTTGTTTGAGTGATGAATATATTAGAAAGCATTATAAAAATACCACCTCGCTTTAGTATAGTTCTGGAAAGGCATCACTGGATTCCGTAGGATTCTTGGAAAGAGTTCCTCAACATGCACAACAGCAACCAGAAAAGCCACCAGACTCGTGATTACAGCTCTATCAACATCCGATTATGTAGCTTCCGTGTTTTGGAACAGTTTCATTCGTCTTGTACATATCCAGCTTGACAATAGTGTGGTCCCTAGCGGTTATAGAAGTTTGAAGCATTCTGATTAGACTACACTATAAACGTACAAGGTATCCCGTCCGAGAAACGCCCTGCTTGATAAAGCCTTTGCCCTAGGTATTACACCTTGGAAATATAATTATAAAAATGAATATCCCTCTCAGAAAGCCTTCTCCAGAACCTCAGGGCCCACAGACTGCAGAAGCATGTCCAGCGTAGCCTGCCATGAAGGCTCCATGAATTTCGACATGATCGTCACCCTCTTCGCCGCCTTGTCAACACCCTCCTTCTCTCTCAGAACATCCGCTCTTTCAGCATCAAGCTGCCCAAGCCTCTTAGTAACAAGCGCAATCTCATGATCGGTCTTGTATATTCCAGCGATACTCTTGTCGAGCTGGCTTTTGACAATAACGTATACCTCTTTGTGCTCGAGAATAGTCTGCTTCCTCTTGTTGATGAAGGTGCGGAGCTCAGCATCCCCGGGGTTCTGCTGGTAAACTTCCTCAAGACCTCTTAGCGTTGTGTTTTCGTTGGCTGTGGAGTTCTCGACGTCTTTGAGGGCATCCTGAGCTTTCTTTTGGTCGTTTGTGTAATCATTCTTTTTCTGGAAAAGGCTGCTCTGAACGGCAGATAGCTTACGTTGCTCGTCGTTGATGTCGGCCAATAGCTCTTCGAACTTGCGCAGAACTGGCTTTATGGCATCGGAGGCATGTTTCAAGCTTTCCTTGAATTCATCTCCAGACGGCTACAAATGGTTAGATTAAAAAATATCAGGAGGCAGGGTTCTTACCAAAACTGCGTCCCAATTGATTGCTCTAGACACTTGAGACTGACGATGCGGTACAGCATTAGATGACCTTTGCCTCTTTGCTCCAGATCGCGAAGCGTTCGATGGAGTATTACTTGCATATGATGTTGTTGGTGATGATTCAGCCGGGCGCTTATTACCCCGAGATGGAGCCAGGTGATGAGGCGTCGATTGCTGACTGCTCGCCAATTGGTTGTAAGCACCTTGAGGAGCCACGGGGTTTGATGCCGATAACCAGTTGCCCGATTGTTGCTGAGGAGTCAAAGAGGTAGCACTGGTGCGGGGCGACGCCAATGGCTGAGAGCTTGCTTGTGTGCGGGGAGTTGCGGAGCCTTGAGAATTTGAAGCGGAGGTTGAGGCCGATGGCTGGCTATTGGATCGTGGGAGTTGCGTTGCACTTTTAGTACCAGGGATCGGAGGAAGAGGCACTACTGTATGTGATTGTGGGCGAGGCTTCACAAAGTTCTGGATTGTGTTTGCTGGAGAGGCAGTTGGTGTAGGTTGTTGAGGAGGGCGCATATCGCCCTGGGAAGTTGCAGGTTTGGGCACCGGTACTTGAGAACTTGGTGTTTGTTGTTGTGAGCCCGGGGGACTCCTAACAGCGAGAGTCGCAGATGTGTACTCTGCGGAGCCAGTGCTTTGTTGAACAGAACTCCTGGGTAAATCTGAAACCAATCGAGATGGCTGTTGAATACTGCGCCGCGGGCGAGTTGAGGCTACTGATACAGAGTTGGGCGTTGATGTTCCGTGATCAGGTCCAGATTGGCCGTTTAGCTGTACGGGCTCTGGACTGTCGTTCGGCATGAATTCATCACCACCTGGATCCACAACTGTTTCCTCATCTGACTCGTCGTCTTCGATCTCGACGACTTCTTTGGCTGGTGAACGGCGTCTTTCTCGGGGCGTACTCTGTTTCTTTGGCGCAGCCCAGTCGAGATCATTCTCATCCTCCAGCTCCTCTACTTCTTCCTCTTCCTCGTCCTGTTCTTCTGCTTCATCCTCTTGAACTTTCTCAGGTTCATCAACTTGCTCTTCAGCCTCCTCTTCGTTTTCATCCTCCTCTTCATCAGTATCCTCTTCTATCTGATCCTCGGGCAAGCCCAAAGCTACAATTTCATCAACAGGTTCAGAGTCTGCCTCAGTCGCGTCACTGTAGCCCATCTCATCGTCGCTCTGCTCATTCACTGATACAGACTCATTTGGATTTGTATGCTTGGTATCAATCCCCATACCACGAAGCCATTTCCGGACTTTGAGGATATCGGATTTGCGAAGCTGGGGGTACTTTGTGCGTGGATGGTGGTTCGCGTGACCTTTCAGTCTGCGACGCACCTCCTCAACATCGACTCCGTTGGACACCACGAGCGACACCAGCGCAGAGAGACCCTCGATAAGTCGAATCCCCCACATGTCAGGAACAAATCCTTTGCAGAGTTCGTTTGGCCACATTCCGCTGAGCTGATGAATGCGCGACGCTGCGTGATAAGCCCGATAAGATGGATATTCTGGTGATGATTGACCTTTGACGCCTGGCGGCGGTCGACCGCGATGACGCGTGGATGAGTTCCTTGGCGTCATGAGAAATGACGAAAAATTCGAATAAGCTGATGGTTGTTGTGAGTGTGCTTGAAACTGAATGTGCTCAAGATGATCTGATGTGATTGATTATTGAAAGGGTGGTGATGTGTTTGCGACGCATGAGGTAAACGGTAAACACGGTCCAACTCCGTCACGTGTTTTGGCGTGGTACCCGAATGGCTGAACCAATGGGCGGAAAAATAAATTCCAGCTCCGGCGTAATACAACTGGCAAACTTGGCCAGGCATGAACGCCATCCCGTTTCATCTTTGGGCCAATGAATAAGGAAGAAAGGAAACAAAAGCATAGTGTTTATTGAATCTTCCCGAACCAGAGCATGCCATACTTGAAGATGCCCTTCGGGCTGCAGTTGCTTGTGTGATGAATGGTGAAGCCTTGATTCATCAGGTTGCCAAGCATTGGCGACTAAGGCAGCAAAATCTCACCAGGAATGACTTGAAATCTTTGTTTTATCTAGTATCGGCAGTTCCGACTACTCCTGTTTTGTCTATCAACCGAGAGACGCGATATGCAAGATCTTTTGATCCTGATTTTCAGGTCCCACATATCCCACCTAAACTCAAACCTGTCTGGCTATTGTTCAGAAGACTATAGAGCGAATACCAGATGATCCAGTCCCTTTCTGCTTCTTTCGGCATAAAACATTTTCTTTCTTCTTTTACTGTACTTTAAGTCTGCACCGGCTCTATCCGCTACGGAATCGCAGAAGCAACTTTTGCTACATGCAGTCTGTCTCATATTCGTCTTCTAAAAATGCCGTCCAAAAAAACTTCATAATCAAAATTATTCAAAGGTTATGTTCCAGAGCTTCATCCTTTCGGCTTCAGTCCAGGCGGCTCAAGCAAGAACTCTTTACAATCCGCTTTCTCAACGGATTCTCCAATTCCTGATGTCATGCTCCCGGGCTTTGTTCATTGACTAAGACACAACGGAGACCTAGCCTAGGATTTGATCATACGACGCAGAGGCGTGATGTCTACCGTCCAGTATAATAAGATGACATGTACAGCATGTGCTCTACGAAGGCTTTTTCCATGGCGGTATTGGTTTTCATAAGTAATTTCTATCAAGTCATACAAATACAAAAAAAGGTTCAAGTAGAATATCATCTAGCAATCATAAAGCGACTTAAGCCACGTATAACAATGGGACAGATTTACTAAAGAATCAGATTGGTGAGAATTCATTATCAGTCTCACTGATACTATTCAACAGAGCAAGTAAGTCTTCGGGATTACGGTAGTTGAAAATTCCAAGGTGCAAGGAGCTCAGGTCATAGAGACATCTTTAAGCTCCAAACATATACTTTGGCGCGCAGCTCATGCTGAAGGGGGATCCTCTGCATCTTTCTACAGTGGTTCTCATTCCCACTCTTGTGCTTTCTTGGGAAACCAAACAAAGGAACAAATAGGAAGACCTGAAAGTCTCTTCAGAGTGATCATTCTTTCGCGCTGAGTCAATTCAAGAGCCGTATGGTGCTCTGTTGATAGGGCCAGATTGGCGGGGACCTGAGAGTTCATTTGCCCGTGAACCAAGTTTCGATCGAGCTTCGAGGGCCTATCAAATGCAAACTTAAGACCAATGGTTACTTTTCTAATTGGTTCTATTGCATAGAAAGACTTATCGGCGATGCGGGCTGGGACTAAGGCGTTTCACTAGCAGATTTGCAGCCACAGTTGAGCGATGTTTCCGACCAGATCTAGTTAGGAGGTGCGCGCCCTTCTTTTTCTCCTTTGGGTTCTACGATGAGACTTTATAACAAATGACACCACAAGATCGCATTATCCCTCTACTTTAAAATATGCTGAGGAACCAACGTAGCCCGGGCTCACACCACAAACTTTACACGTTTCACTAACAAAAATGGCCACCCTGTACCACCGACTTTAGCGAGCATTAGCAATCAACCTAAGAGAACTCTGAATTTAAAATCGCCCATTTTCATACACAGCCACATTCTCTCATTAGCAACACTTCGCAGCTCAACTGCCGACTGAATCGGGACCTCCCGTTCTTGGTTGTTCCCCGGGCCTCGCCGACCATCATTAAGAGCCACGCCCGGTTAGCTCAATCGGTAGAGCGTGAGACTCTTACGAGTACGCGATCTCAAGGTTGCGGGTTCGACCCCCGCATCGGGCTGTTCCTATATTACGATTGCGAGCGAATGCGAGGCTTTCCTTTTTGCCTTTTCTTACAAGTAGTTTTGTGTTCTACTTTGGCTCTGTCAGCTTTACGGCCATCATGCTGAGAGCTGGACACGGTTATCATCACTGCAATTCGGATAGTTGTGTAGTGGGACTAAATAACATGTTGCGAATCGAAAGTCTATTTATCTAAAAGCCATCCTCCGATGGCTGCGATAGGTAATTATATACAGCGAGGCTCTGATTGAGAATCAGGTTACCTGCTATAATGAAATGTGCCTTAAAATGGTCCTTAGCTCTTGGCCACTGCTCCTTCGAGCCATTGACCTTAGCTATCTCCCGGCGATGAGTAAAGTTAGTCTGAGTCTGAAATACTCAGCTGAACGTCATCCACCCAGGCCACGTAACCGTTACTGCACTTCGCCCTGATGACAACCCGAATAGGATTACCACCGTCCAAAGCAGTCTGTGTCAGAGAAAACTCGCCCGAAAGAGCAGTAAAGCCGCTAGCGATCTGGGCACCAGAAACACTAATCCTCAGTCCAAACGAATCATTGAGGTCGTTGTTGTCAATGAATGCCTCGAAAGCAGTGCAAGAAGATCCAGAGCTGACCTTGGCGTAGAGAGAAAGACTGTAAGGCTGATTTGCGACGAGGGATGACTTGCTGAGAACTTGGAAGGTGTTTGACCAGTCGCTAGCCTGAGAGCCCATCTTGAGAGAGTAAGAGCCTGCATGGACTGTTGAGGTGTCGATGTTGGCGTAGGCGCCGATACCAAAGTTGGACCATGGAGCAACGCTGCCGCTTTCAAAGTCACCGTTGATGAGGATAGTAGGTGTCTCAGCAGGTGCAGCCGAGGTAGTAGAGGCAGCTTCCGTGGTAGAAGCAAAGGCAGAAGTCTCAGTGGTAGAAACAACCACGGTTGAAGTTGACTCAGCTGCACTGGATGTCGCGGTCTCACTCTCGATGATGGTGATATCCGTGACGTAGCTCGACTCAGTTGATGTCAGCCCAGTGGTTAGAGTGGCGTCGCTAGCAGTGGCAGTCTCAGTCTCAGAAGAGAAGGTTGATGTAGCCTGGATTTCAGTGGTGGAAGAAATCGGCTTGCAGGGGCTAGCCTCAGACCCAATGATGATGGAGAAGGCCGCGAACGCAGCAAAAAGTCTTTGCGATGCCATCTTAGAATGAGTGAATAAGATAGTCGCTGTAACGAACGTGATGCTCCAAAAGGAAAGGAATAAGAAAATGTAGACAAAGGTCGAGGACTGACAGAAAACGGTCTCGCAGCGCTCAAGTGTTTAGTGCTTGCGCTGTCACTACCTATGGGGCATTTAAAATTACATGGGGCGCTAACGTCTGATGAAAATCGATAGTTCGCTGATAAATGTTGACAATTTGTTGCGCCAAGCCAATAGACCACTCTCGATGCGGTATAGTGATTACTGTATGCCAGCTCACGCGTGGTTTCTTATCTTATCCGGAGAAAAAGGAACACCTTGGGGAATAGGATTAACATTACCATGACGAATCATCTCCGTGTTCGAGGCCTCGGCTGACTGCTGACAGTGCATCAAATGCTGTCGTGAATCTGGGCACAGTTCCTAAGGAGTCATCGAATCAATCACTTCTCTCAAAAACAATACTTGAGCAGCGACAAGTTAGGTTTTGGTTACATATTCATATAATCCTGCTCTATTAGCTGTGCTATCTGCATGTGTCACGAACTCTTAATTCTCAGAATCATTGAATAGTGAGGAATGCCAAGAATCGATACAACTCGAATGTCCTCGAAGCCTGCAGCCACATACAATGGCCGCCCTGCCTCGGTAGCTACTAAGTAGCAATCTTTTCCTTCCTCAGCTGCCCGATCAAGACCCCACTGTAACAGCATCTTTCCGATACCGCGCCTCTGATTACCTGGGCTGACACCGATGTAGTCGAGATCTAGACGGTCAGTCACTGTAGCCGAGAAAGTGAAATGGGAAACGTACGCCAAACACCAGCTATGCCTTGTTCTCCAAAAGTATCGACAGCATCTTGATTCACAGTCTTTTTCATCTCATTGTAGGCCTCCTTATCGAGTGCTGTACATTGTATCTCCTTGCTGGGCCCTGAGTCACCGCCAGTAGCAGGAGGGGCATCCCAGAGCGAGAAGCCAACGACTTGGTCATCATGTACCTTTTCATCATCGATGGCTACAGCGAGATGAGACTCTGGGGATGCTAGGCTTGATGCTTTGCGTGCAAAGCGCCAGTCATACGCTGCTTCGCCATCAGGGAGGTCTATTGGTTGTAGATGAGGGGGAAACAAGCGTCGTGACAGAGCATCTGTGTTTGGGTGGAAAGCCGAAGTTGCGATACGAGCTATGGCAGGAAGATGCTCTTCTGAGGCTTCAATCAAGCGGATTGTCATGGCTTCGGCGTAATGCAAAGTTGTGATGTTCTTCGATGAATGAACAATGAGAAGCAGGTGAAGCCAGCAATGGCGGAGAAGAGGTCCACTAAAGTTGCGCCCTAGATGACACGACATTGGCGCCCTTTTCGCCCCACGATGATTGTTCTGCCGCCGCTGAACGGTGTAGACTCGCAAAAGGATCCAATAGGTATTTGCGTACTTTCGTCGATATGTCGTAGCAGAAATTTTAAATTGACTATTGTGGATATCTGCAATGGTTTTGTATTTGTGCCTGACATCGATGATGCACGAGGGCAGAGAACCTTATCGATCCCACTGACTGAGGTTATATATCTTTGTGTTTCGCCGAACCCATTTCTTTTGAATTACAGGCATCAACATCTACATATGCTAGTACCACTATACTGTCTGTGTAGGCTTT